CGAAACAAAATAAACAAATGTCCTCTTTTATACATATATATATATATATATATATATAATTTCCTCCCATAGTCCAAAAAAGTTACACTAACAATAATGTTATTTTTCTGAACAAGTGAAAGTGGCAGTCATATCAAAAAAACAACAACAAAAAACTCCATAAACTGTAAACATTAACTTAAGCATGAAATTGAAATTGAAAGACTAAGAAATCGTATAGTATAATCCCAGTGCTATCGTTATCAGGTACAAATTGACAAAGAAAGGTCTATTTTTCAAAAGTGCTCAGGTTATTGAGTTTCTTTTTTCTGTCTTTCATTGATTTCTTAACCTACATGTTTTCATAACATATGGCATATGCAACACAAGGGAGTGTTTTCCCCACCAAATAGTACTATTCAAATTCATTGAAAGCTAGTTATAGTGGGTAGTTGGAAAATATTTTTATTTTAGAATAAGCACATTTTTATCACTGGAGTGATAATTTTAAAGTACAAACATAGAACAAATTAAATTAGAAATATTGTTATATTACTAATAGCAAGACAGATAAGGCAGGTGTAAATGTGGGTAAAATTAAAAGTGAATAACATGCTGTTGTTAAATGATTTGTGAAAACTCATATACTAAGGTAATAATAGTAAACTTAATTCAAGAAATGTAGTTATTTATATAAAGGTGTGAGTAAGTAGTTAATCTCGTAAGTTAACTTACAGAAGTCAAAAAGATAAAGAGAAGAACCTGAATGTTTATTATCTTGGGATTATGTTTTGATTAGCAAGGCTTCTGCTATTTTCCTTTTGATTATACTATGTTTGTGTTGTAATACAGAGACATTGTGTTCTGTAAATGTGTGGTGATTGGAAATGGATTACATATGGTAATTTATGGGTGGGGTGAAGGTTGGTGTTCTTTTATTTATGTGTTTAATTTTTGTCCATTGTGGGTAACTACTAGTAATAGTAGAAATACATGTTTCACCATAGAAATTAGCCGGTACTAGGCTACTATTAGGCTTGGGGACTGAGTGTTTGTATCTTTGGAACATGTGGGTAGCTAAAAACTTTAATAGGTTTGTTAACTGTATATGATATGCAGTTTATGATTGGAAAGCTAATCTTTAATGTCTTCTTAAAAGTATGCAAACTATTAAGTATAATTTATTGTTTTTTATTATTATTTTGGAGTTTATTACTTATGTTGATACTTTTTATTATTCATAGCATATATTAATTTTGAAATACTGCTAAGCCTAAACAATTATATGTGTATATTCATTATTATAAGTATTATCATTTAAGTTCAAATACTGTTGGCATTGATAAGCCTAAGGTAGCTGTAATATTACATTTTTTTAAGAACTTGCATGTGTTCCACATGTTTGATGTGGAACAGGTTTTAGCCTTTTTGTGAAATGAGTTTCCTCATTTTCTATATTAACGTCATTATTGACAGTAATTTATGGTGCTGCTGATTGTTTTTCAGATATTGTTTTTGAACCAGAAAATTTGATACGTTTTTTATATTGGTCAAATCAATGTGTAAGCAGTGTGCTTCCTAATTTAAAAAAAAAATCCTTAACATATTCATCCAGACTTACAATTTTATTCAAGATTTTATTAATTGTATTTACCAACATTGCAAGTATATTTTTCATTTATTTCTCACATTAGAATATGGAAAACATGCAGTACCTGCAGGGTGCCACCATGTTGGAATAATTTGGAACTGCTAGTTGAGCAGACTGGACTGTTCAACCAAATAAGCAGAACACATTCCAGGGCAGCGAGCTGGAATGGTTTTGCGAAAATGACTTTTCAGGTCTGTTTGTTCTCACAAAATAACACCTTTAATACTATCTGTTAACCCTAGTACATTTGTATCAACCATTCACAATAAATGCATTACATAAACATTGGGTAAGAGTCAAGCTTATTTTATGATACAATGAAAAACAGAATTACGTGAAAGTAGTTGAGCTCATTCACATACATGACCACATATCCCACGATTTCAGCATTATAACTCAGTATTCTGGCTCTAGATTTTATTTAAAAAATTTTTCTTCATTTATCTAAGTCAGGAGAATGGAAAGGGTTCAAGCAAGTCTAATGTTAGAGCCTTTATCTTTGGGCTATTAGTATTATAATATAGTATAATATTGCCTATAGACTTGTAGTGACACTGACTTGTTAGAATGTTCAACCATAGTAAGGTTAAGTATTATTTCTTTTTGTCAATACACAAAGACACTGTTGCATTGATCCCTTGTTTATCCAAGGTATCCAAAGATTTTAAACAAAATGTTTGAAACAGATCTTTATTGCTTAAAAAATGAGAACAGTAATGCAGGGTTTAAAAATGTATTTCGAAATCCCAAACCTAGTTATCCTTTGTAAATACCACATTGCTATTCTAATAAACGTGAAATGGTCACTCTGAAGAAGTATTTTCTGCATCATACATGGATGTAAACTTGATAGTCATAGCAGTTTACATCCCTTTACTACAATAAAATCGAACAGTGATAAAACATTACTATTGCATTACATATGAAGTTTAAATGAGTAAAAGAAGCATAATGTATTTTTTGCAGAAAAAATTATATGGAACTAACTGAAATACGCTAGACATGTGAAACAATTTTAAGAGAAATATTATAAGTTGATTAAGAAATTTATATACCTCCTAAGAAGTGATTTCCTTAGGGTATACATTAGCATTGCAGAAAGCAGCATTATTTGTTTCTGGCAATATGTGTATATATATATATATAAAGGTAGAAATACAATCTCTTATTAGAAAATTAGAAGAAAGACTTAAGGTGAATCTTGCATTAAAATAGATTTATTCATGAAGAAAGATTGTGATTGGGTATATATTTCTTTAGTTGATGTAGTCATGAGTGATCAATTTAGTAAAAGTATTTTCATTTCACTTTCATGCTCTTGCAGCTCATGCTTATTTGAAAAGATCATATATATATGCCTGTGTGTAAAATTAAAATTTATCTGCATTAATTTGATGTTGCAATTAAATGTATTGAGGGTTGTATAGCCTAAATGTGACATTTTCGTACTGTACTATTTGAAATTGTGAACAGTCACAAATGAAATCAAGATATAAAAATTGGCCATTTATATGTTGTGCATCTTTAACACACAGGACACAAATAGTTAACTGTATTAGTATAAAAATACAAAAATGTTTTAGTTGCACAAAAAAACAAGTTTATATAAATGCTTACATCTGTGGATATTTTCAAGTGAATTAACAGTTGTCTATTTTATTAAGCTTCCAAGAGACTATCATTCTATCTTGCATTGTGTATGTAAACTTAGGACACATCTAGTTTACATTGGCATTTATCAGTTTTCACCATTTACAATTAGGTTTTAGAACCCTATGATAAAAAAATATTTGGTGAAAAAACCCTGGATTCATAATTTTAAAACATTGAGCTTTGAAGTTATATATGTCAAACATTTATAATGAAAAACAAATGGGTTATTGAAAGCAAGGATAAACTCATAATTGCAGCCCCCTTTTCACTATGAAGATTTAACATATAATAAGTGTGAGCAGTATAGGTTAAGTGGAGGGTAAGTAAGTGAACTTAGTATTTAAGTATCAAGACTTGCAAATGAAATGGAATTATGAAAGGAAATTTTTAAAGTGCTTATAATGTTTTACCAAAGGTTTTAAAATGTGAAAATACTGCATTTACATTTAAAAAAGCCAAAAAAAATGTTTGATTAATATTGCTAACTTATTTAAAACATTCATTTACTCCTTTTCTTTCCAATTTACATTTTTTCAAATCATATGTAACTCATAATGTTTAAATGAGTTTGTTGATGGTAAGACCTCTTACAGTCTACTTTCTCAGATATGTGCAAAACTTGAAACTTTGACAACAGAGATGTTATGTATTGCACCAAACTAAGGTTCCACCATCTTTATGGTTATGGCTCGTTTCAAAGCAGTAGTGAGTTTTGGATTTGTTTTCTTCAGAGTGCAGCAGAATTAGGCAGGACTTGATTCAGAGGCTATCTATCTATCTGTGTGTCGTCTTTATGACTGAAGGAATGAAAATGTTGGGAAATGCAAACTTGAAAATTCCATGCTAAAACTGGGAGGTTTAATCAATTACCCATGAATGGCAATTAAATTGATTAGCATCACATAAACTAACTAATGTTTCCTATTGTTATGGGTTAGGGAGCTCGACTCGCAATCTGCGGGTCGTGGGTTCAAATCCCCATCCCATCAAACATGCTTGCCCTTTCAGCCAAGGGGGCATTATAATGTTATGATCAATCCCACTATTCAATGGTAAACAAAGAGTGGTGGGTGGTGATGACTAACTGCCTTCCAGCTTTCACTGCTAAATTAGGGACAGCTAGCGCAGATAGCCCTCGTGTAGCTTTGTGCAAAATTAAAAAAACAAACCTATTGTTTTTGATTATTCCAACCATCATTTAATTGAAATTACTATTAAATTAATTGTCACAAAAATAATCAACTGATTAAAATTGGGGTTTTCAATTATTACTCTTTTAGATTTTTCCAACTATTCAAGTCATCAGAATGTTGCTGTTATGTTTGTTGTTAAGCACCAAACCTGCTGCCAACCTTTTGTTTATTATTGAACTGTTGAATAGAAAGAAACCAACTAGCTGGCAACACCACCTTTTTTGAAAAACATTGTACTAATCAATTAATTAAATGTGATCAATTAAATGGGGCTGTCAATTAGTAAATACCACAAATCACTTAGCTCTGTTCAATACAATAAGTTTAAGCTTTGAAAGTCTAGATGCAAACTTTTGTTTAAAAAAAAACAGTTGGAGTTGTGAATTTATGGAATGTCTTTCCAGATGATGTGATTTGTGTTGTTTGTTGTATTCAAAAAAATGTTTGGATAGATAAATGGCTATATTTAAGTTGGATTAAAATGGAAAAAAACTATCTGTGTGTGTGTGGATGATGGGTAATTTCATTGGTAGAATATATTTTCACATTGCCCTTTTTTGTGTGCTAAAATAAAAATTAAACTGGCAAAACTTCCACCTGTCTAACATTTATGATCCCTAGTTATATGTTTTTTATGTGATGATGGAATTGTGTATACATTTGTGGTATGCATACACATTGAGCCTAATGGTATTTATGGAAGCATATATATATCTATATATAGAAATATTTTTGAATAATATTAATATATTTTGAAATTTTTTTGGAATATATATTTGCCATCCATGATCATCCCACTGGCTTGTGGTGATGACTGAGTATCTAGTATGTAATACACAGTAGTTCCAGCAGCTTATGTATTGGAAAAAATAAAGCTTAGAACTGAAACTATAAAATATATTTGTATCCATATGTTAAGGAAACAGTAATACAAAACACGTAATGTTGAGCTACGTGACCTGTCTTTTCAAAGTAAACTAATGAATATGTTATGTACTTTTGATTAATAAAGTCAGGAGAAACTCCCTAAATATTTGAAGGTATGTTTCAAAAATATTGATATTAATAAAAGTTTTTATTATAAATTGAAAACTTTGTAATAGATGCTGATTTTGTATATATTTGTCCATCGTGTACACTTGGAATAGGATTTACAGTTTTAAAAAGAAAAAAGCAGAAAGAATTTAGGAGAGCTTGACATCATGATAAGATTGGAGATGAAAGTAGAAGACTATGAGACTTCAACATCCCACGAAGTTCTGGTTAACAGACTTGGTGATTTATTAGAATCTAAATACGGTTATTTTAGTACAACTCTGAAGGGGATCTTGGTAAGTATAGTAAATTTTTATGAAGAATTGAAAGGTTTTGTGAAATTTCAAAAATATTTCAAATTTATATAATTATTCAAAATATCTGTTGCTAAAGTAGTTTTGAAGGTGTATAGAAATTAATAATTAGAGCAAGTACTTTGTGGGTCATTGTTGAGAGTTTTCTTCAAAAAAATTAAGAAGATAGTACAGTTGTATGAATAAGAAAATGGTAGACATCTCTCCCCTTCAGGTTAAAGATATTTACAAATTATCATATGATGTTATGACTTATTAACATAAAATGGATAAAAAACAAATCCAGGTGTCTTTGTTAATAAAAATTCAAAACCACTTCATGCAGAATTCAAGATTGAAGCCTGTTATTTGGAATATACTGCCCTTCCAAGTTTCCTATGTATGAGACTGAAAAGTAGCTGACAATGAATGGAACAGTGGAAACTAAATTTTTGGCAGGGTTAAAATGAATAGCACATGAAGATAAATCAAAGTTAAATTAGGCACAGTTATGACAGGTTTATTTTATTCCTAAACAATTAGTCATATTCACTATAATATCTTAGCTAAATTTTCTATTGTCTTCTATTTTTAAGCAAAAATAATTTGTTAAAATTTTTATGGTATTAATAAACAAAAACTTTTAACAACAGTCTTGCATTTAGGTATCCTGAACTCCATTTAAAATATCATGAAGTTTATATGTACTGACACAGTTGTAGTTGTTCAGCTTCTAAACCTGGTAGAAATGTGTTTGTTTTCATGTTTCTTGCCTTCTGACACAAATATGTCTGTACCAGCAAGTACTTTAATTTAGCCTATATGTATAGTCTAACAATAAATGAAGATAATCTGACTTTGTAATTTTCAAGTGTGAAGGTTACTGTTGATAATACCTGTGGTTAAAAGATTTTGATGTTAGTTACCTCTTCAAAGTAAATAGTAAGAGAGAATAATTTGTTCTTTCAGTAATTGTAAAACATAGATAAATATTTGGTACTAATTAAAGCAATTGTTGTCCAACATTTCTTTTCTGAAATCTTGCCTGTACATTAACAAGCATGGAGTCTATTACAGATATAAATTAGTGAGGTGGGAAATAAGATTCAAATTAACTGAAATAAATAGTGTATCTTTTGATTCTATACTTGTATAAAAACACTTGGCCCAATAAAAAAATATATTTTTTAAAATTGTTGTTTGTATGGATTATTTTCCCAAGCTTGTCATTTCTGTATTTTAAAGTTAATGGATCAGAATTTGCAGTTTGTGATTTATGTTTATTGTTCGATGGTTTATCAACTTAGAACTTAAATGTTGTCGACAAGTGTATTTCAGTTTTAAAGGTTAAAGCTATGATAATCAAACTTCAGCATTTATTGAAATACTAAATTTGTCTAGTAGCATAAAACATAAGACACTGTTTGACATATTGATCTTTAAACACACAAGAAAGAATCTAAAGCTAGAAGTCCACTATTAATTTGGAAGTATTTGGTTTTGCTTTTTCCCTTTTGTGGTTATGAGCTTTTATCTAAATATTGTGACTTCTTGATACATGTTCGAGGTAATAATATGTTAGTTTTAGGTACAACATTAATGTTAATTTCATCACTTCTTCAAACCTTGTTTGACCTGCTTGTTTTAAATTAAACTTGTATCAGTTGTGTCATTAAAGTTTATGTATGTTTGAATGACTGTTTTTTATTTATACTAACATTAATTTCATATTTTAATTTTCTGTTATTATTACTTTTATTATCTATTTTTGTTTTGTTGTGTCAGTTTTATCTATAATATAATTTTTTTTTATTAGGTTTATTTTTATTGTAAAGGATTAATATCATTTGTAGATTATTTTGGTAATAAATTGACATGTTGTCCTTTAAATATTTTTTTACATTTAATTAGATACGTCTCTAACAAATTCTTTGGAAAGTGAAGATTCAGATGTGCAGTGCCACATTTGTAATGTTATTCTGAAGGAAAGTGAAAGCTATAGAAAGCACATGTCTGTACATCGCAAGAAGTCACTGCAGAGAAAGAAAGAGGAGATTACTAAATATTTTAATTTTCCAGTCTACTATGATCCATATGAAAGTGACATGGAACTTTGGTGTGAAGATGAGGATTATACAAAATCTTGTAGTGAACTCAAATTAGGTATATATAGTCATATCTTATTCATTTAATAGTGTAAGGTTTAAAGTGTTAACTGATGTTTGTGCATCAATCTTGTTCTTATTTTTAGCATGATTCATATAATATAAATATTAACAATTTACTCTTTAAGGATGATAATAAATAAATATTAAGCATGTGTGATAGATGTAAGTCACATTATTATTAAAGATTGGAAAATAACTTGTAGTGTTCAAGTACATTTACATTCAACAAATAGCCAAAAGTTGCTGCAAAAACACAGATTCAGGAAATTTTATGTATAAAATATACTGAACACAGATAGCAAAAAAAAAGCAAATACAATTAAGCAAATATAATAAACTGTTATTCACAAGGATGTGTAAGGTTTAACAGTTAAGCTGGCTGGCTTCTTACTTTTCTGTTGTAACTTGCTGCTGGGTGTACCTCAGGGGGTCAGTGCTTTGGCCTTTCCTTTGTCTTATTTACACTCGTGATGCTGATAGGGGCATAATTAGTAACTTAGTAAAGTTTGTTGATGACATTAAACTCTTGGGGATTTCTAGCTATATTTAGAATGTTGAGATATTGCAGAATGACTTGGATCAATTGGTAAATTGGACAAATATTTCACAAATGACTTAATTATTGTACGTGCAAGGTAGTGCATTTGGATGTCTTCGTCTAGATCACATGTTTAATATAGATGGGAACCAACTCAGTAGCATAACTGAAGAAAAAGATCTTGGCATATTGGTGGATAAGTCACCAGTCTGTTGCTAGTAGTAAAGCTAACAAATTTTTACAATGTATTTATAGACACACTGATTACAAGTCAAAAGAGGTAATTTTCTCTCAACACAAATCACTAGTTAGGCCTCACTTGGAATACTGTCTACAGTTTTACTCTCTTTATCTAAGGAAAGATATTGACTTATTGGATGACATACTAGGGATTGCAGCCATGCTAAAATTAGATTTATAAACTTTTCTACACAACATATCCTCTTTCCACCCTTATTTAGAACTTATGTAGGAAGTATCTGACACAACTCTTCCCCATTCTCAAAATTAAAATATACATACAAGATGACCATCTGGCAACTAGTATACATTATAAAGAAACACATTCACACATGTATTTACATTCTGAATCTTCCCACCATTACAGTAACAAAACTCAATACCATACTCACAGTTTATCTGACTTTGCAAATTACGTTGTAATGATAATGATTACAAATCAGAATTCAAAGACATAAACTTTCTTTTCTAAAAAAACACTACCCCGTTTCCTTCATCCACGTTGCAGCCACCAAAGCTTATTTTTATACCCAAGAACAAACACTCAACCCTACCAAGAAAGAACACCTATTATATTCCACTTGTGCAAACATACTGTCAGACAAAGAAGAAGATCAAAGACATTATACTAAACAATTACACAATACTTACTGGAGACTCTACCATTCAATCTGTTTACAAGGTCTCACTTATTATTTCTTACAGACAAGACGAAAACCTAAAAGAAATCCTGGTTCACAGTAAACTTAAACAAAATTATACTCTGTGTGCTCAAAAATGTAAATGAAACAGGTGTGTCACCTGCCCACATATAAACAGCACCACACATATACGAGGAAAAAACACAGATTTTAACATAAGACAATCCTTTACATGCATTATCATTTACTGTATAATTTGCAAAAAATGCAATAGTTTATACAATGGACAAACAGGCTGCCGACTCAGTGATCGAGCACAAGAACATCTAAACCATATTAAACTGGGAAGCTAGAACATATCTATAGGTAAAAATTTCACCATCAACAGCCATACAGTTGAGGACTTTTCGATTCTGGGACATACTAGTGCTTCAACAGACATTCACAAAAAAAGATGACTGGAAAGGAGATTAATCTATGATCTGGGAACCTTACGATCATCTGGTTTAAACAAAAGCTTTTCTTTCCTATAGATCCTCATTTTTACCATATTTTGTTTCAATTCAATCTGTTTTTTTTTCTTATTTTTTCATGACTTGTAACATTCATGTAAAAGATGTAATTCCTGCTCTACGTTCAAAATGCTAAATATTCAATCTTTAAATTTTGTTCATGCTCTGCTCTTTTGTTGTAAGCTGTATGATTTGAAAAAGAGTGCTAGTTCAAAATGTTGTCCTTTCAAAATAAATGTATAAAAGACTTGGCAACTGTTTAACCTATTATTTAATGTTGATTTAATTGATGTAATAAATTACCTATGAGCAGTAATTACATTGAGCATTGTGTAATTAATCAATTAAGCAAAATTATGATTAATCCATTAACTTTATGAAAATAATCAGAATTAATATTTCTGATTATTCCAGCTATCCAAGTAATTGAAATATTGCCATTATGTTTGTTTAATACGTGTAAAACGTATATAATGGGGGGGGGGGGTACTTTGTGATTTGAGGGTCTCGGGTTTGATTTCTGTTACCCATAAGCTTGCTCACCTTGTCTTTGTTATTATGAAACTAGCTGCTGAGGCTATCTGGATCTGTCACTCATTTTAAACGGTGACTAGAGGAAAGGCAATTGGCTGGCAGCACCCATCACCAACTCTGGCTACTTAAGTATTAAATAAAGTGTAAATTTATTGTTTTTTTACATTTGTTATGTTTTTAATTTATAGTTGCATAATTAATAACTTAGATGGCATAAACTTTGAATATGTTGGAAGTAAGAAGTATACAAATACACTGTTTCACAAGGTTGACCTGGAATCTTCAGGTGATTGACATAGAGGATTTGTTATATTGCTATGCAGTGGGGAAACTATACTGGTGGTGTGTCAAAAAAGTAGCTCATATTAAATGTAAAGTATTATTCCTGATGTTAATTGCTATACTTGGAAAAAATCCAACAATTGGTTTTTGGCATTTTTTTTGTTTTGTTTGTTTATTTAAATATATATCATAATTTTGTGTATTTTATTGTCTTATCGCAGTAGTCTTATCTGTTTGTTAAATATATAACTTATTATTAATATTAATAATTATAGCAATTTAAAGAATTTATTCAAAACTGAGTGACAGCATGACATATTTTTTACAAATTCAAGGTTAAAGTGAAACATGAATCTTGCTATCTGCCAGTAATGCTCCATGACAAAAGTAAGAAATAAACAGTTAAAAGAACCCCTAAGTCGTTCTTAGTTTCATAACATTTGACATTTAAACTATTTTAAACTATAAACACAATACTGATTGTCTGGAATGACAAGTCTGAAAAAAATGATATTACAGAGGCCTATTATGTTTTTTGATTTGCCTTACTCTCTTCTGTGGGCTGCAGTTTTGCCTATTCAAACTCAGCATAGCTTAGGTCAACAAGCCAAAGAAATACAGTAAGATCTCTTATAATGGTGATATATATGTGTAATATTTATGGAGTTTTAAGTCCAATTTAACTCACCATTTAGTAATTTAATGAAAAGAAATCTGTAATATCATCATCAAACAGTTGGGCTAGTCTTTGATACTGATTAACAGATTTCATGCAATGCTGCAATATTACACACATACCTAACAATCTTATGTTTTAAATCTAACTATATTTCAACAGTTTTAACTAAAAAAATATCTTAGAATCAATATCTGTCATTTTATGACAGTTATATGGTGTAATTTATAAGGAAATATAAAAAAATTATATTTTAATTTCTGAACATCTGTGAAGAGTTTTGGCTGTTAATGAAACAACACATTTGTTTTATGTTAGAATATTTCTGTCCATCCAAAAAAAAAACTTTATTTTCGCTAAGAACCTATCCCCCCTTAAGAATATACTATCCATTTCTTGATTTTCAAGTGTTTCCATTAGTTTTTGTACATGCCTTGGTTAAAACCTTGATATGGTGCCATATCAATTGATTTGATCACTTACTAATAAAACACCACTTTGAAAATGGCTATAAAGAAAGTTTAGATATGATTGTACAGAACAAGAATTATACTATCACATAACAGTGGAGGAAGTATATTGGTTTAAGGTTCTTCTATAGTTTCTGTAAAGGTTCCTTTCAGTTCTTTTCATTTGTGATTTGTGAATGTATTTGTGTGTGTTTGAAAGTTTCAGAAATTTTCTTCAATGAAACATCAAATAATTTGAGAAAGGTAATCTTATACAGTTTAGAGAACAGGTTGAATGGGTTAAAAAAAAACTATTACAAATTTAACAGTTACAGTAACAAGTGTACAATGTTTGAAGACTGTTTTGTTATTATTGGGTAGAAGTAATTTACCTGGACACAGTATGAAACAAAAGTCACATGACTGGAGATTGCTTGCAGCTTAATCAAGGTATTGTTGGTGTTAAGTTCTATGTTTAAATATGTTATTTTTACTATTTAATAGATGTACTTAGGTTTTATTGGAATACAGTGTTTATAAACATGTTTTTTTTTTATTATGTTCACCAACTAAAGTAAAATCATCATCAAATCAGATAATGTTAGTTAAGTTTACTGTTTAGTGAGTATAGTAGGTGGCTGTAAAATATTCTGATGTGTCTAATTTTTATTGAATATTATTTCAGTGTTTATCCTATTCAAACAACATACATAAATAAATTGACAAACTGACTATAGTTTCTGTAAAGGTTCCTTTCAGTTCTTTTCATTTGTGATTTGTGAATGTTGCATGTTTTAAATAAAAACATCATTATCCTTATTGGTGATAACAATACGTAACTTAATTATTTAAATATCAATTTATTCGATTTTTCAAAAGATTAGTGTGGGATGATTGCATATTTAAAAACAAACATAATGGCAAATACTTGGTGATATGTAGTAAACACTAGTGATTCATTCACTAAGTAGGATTTTCAGATTATCAACTTTGTGACAAAATATATTTTTAGGCAAAACATAAGATTTTTCTTAAAAAGTGTTCCAATTGTAATGATCTGAAGAGCTCTATCATATCAAGGATAATTAGGAAATTACTTTAAAAAAAAATGTTGAAACCATGT